AATTGAAAGAGAAAATTTGGTAAGTAACACATTTTTTAGCTATAAAGAAAATACACTGACACTGATTTATAAGTCCTACTTACAGGGAACCCAGATATAAAAGTAGATAAAGGTATGTCTGGTGTGAAATACATGATGAGACATATATGTTTTCTTATGCAGTAAACTTTTTTAAGAGCACTTTAAAAATATATAGAAAACTTTTTTTTTTTTTTGACAGGATCTGTTAAGTCACCATAGTAGAACAGAAATTGGAATCCAGGAATCAGATACATACATTTTCTATGAAGTATTCAGTCTCTCGCTAAATTGGTGATCTAATACAATGGTTTGTTGCTTGAATACATGAATGATATTGGTTGTTAGCAATCATATATTTATACTTTGATGTTCTAGGGAATATATATGAGGACTGTTAAAACCTTCACATAAGTTATTATTCATAGCATATCATTTTCTCTTCATTGCCCCATGTAGAAATTCTACCTATTAGACAGTAACTCTTCATTACCCCTGAGAAGCAGGGGAATGGTAACCTCTATTTTCTATTTTTATGAATTTTTTTGTTTGGCTTGTTTCACTTAGTATGATGTACTCAGGATTCATCCATGTTGTAACCTGTATCAGAGCTTCTTTTTTCTGGCTGAATAATAGTCCACTGTATTTTATTTTTTGATTATCCACTCATGTATTGATTGACACTTGAGTTGGTTCTACCTTTTGGCTATAGTGAAGAATGCTACAGGAGATGCTGACAACAAGCACCTGTTCATGTCCCTGCTTTCAGTTCCATTGATATATAGCTAAGAGCGGAACTGCTGGGTTACATGGTTATTCTTTATTTACTCATTTAGTTAGTTATTTAGTGATGTATTGAGGAACCTGGGTTTACTTTTGAAAAGTGAAAACCATTAATGTCTGTGGTAATTTTGTATGTGAATATGATGAAAATGATTAGTTTACAAATTATTAGTTTTACTGTCCCCCACACCAGTTGTACTTTTTAGTTTTATTAACAAACTGTAGGAAATTGCCTTATTACTCTTTTAATTTTATGTATTTAGTAATTTGTATATCTGAACAATACTTATTTCCATCAATAGCAGGATCTTTGCTATACTTGAGAAAAATAAAAACAAAATGTGAGCCACATGTGTAATTTAAAATTTCCCAGTAGTCACATTTAAAAGGTCCAGAATTTGAAAGATATAATCATTCTGCTAAAATAGCTTATTTGATTGACTATATATGCTATAACATGTAATCAATATAAAAATTAATGATGGGATATTTTGTTTATTTTTTGATACTAAATCTTTGAGATTTGTTGTATGTTTTACAGTTAAAGCACATCTCAGTTTGGACTCAGCCACATTTCAAATGCTTTGTAGTCAGCTATTCTAGTGGTATGGGACAGTGCAGCTCTAAATCAAAAATTCATATGGGAGAATTGAAGGACTTAAAGCTTCACAGGAAAATAAACATGTTATTATAAAATATCATCATAGTATTCTGAGGAAAGCTAATTTTTCAATTTTATGTTTGAGTCTTCTTTTTCTTTGTAAGATTTATTTATGTATGTATACAGAACTGAGGTACAGGTTAGAGATGCAGGGGGTTGAGAGGATTCACCAGAGACAGAGTGGGGAGCAGAACAGACAGAGAGATGAAGTACACTGATGAGGGGAGTAGTGGGAGGCCAGGAAAGTTCTGCTGTGCCATGTGGGTCACCTCCTTGGCCAGGGATCCAACTCAGCGTCAGTGGCTATGGTAACTTCATAGTGCTGTGTTTTAACTAACCCTTGCACCACAAGGGAGGGCCCTGATTATTCATTCTTTAAACCAAAATAAAGCAAGTCCTGTACCTTTTAAAAATCTTTCTTGGCTTTTCCTTCATATGCTTCAATGAAAATAGCTGTTTCTTTTTCCTGTTAAAAAATTCAGTTGTCAAAAAAAAATTGTTCTCATAGAACTTGGATTTAAGATTACATTTACTTTAAAAAGTTTACATATTTCTATCTAGAAATAAAGGTTTATTCAAACCTCTTTATACTCTGCCTTAGTTAGGTATTATAGTTTTTTTTTCCAAAATTACATATTTTCATACTGTTGTACATGCAATTTCTGCATACATTTTCCTAATGCTTTTATAAACTACTGATTTTCAGTATATTTATCCTAAAGTAAGCCACCCACTGAGTTATATAAAGGGGATTAAAATGGTAAGATTTACATTATGTATTTTTTGTTACAGTAAAAGAAGAAGTTGAGAGAAAAAGAAAAGTGATTGTACAAAGAAAACTTGTGACTGAGCTCATGAGGCTGATTTTTTTAATCTGACTTTTAGAGCAGAACAACACCCTTTTTTCAAATAATAATAGCTTGCTACAGAGAAAGTTTAAATCAGTAAAGGAAATAATAGAACTAAACTAGTGATCAATTCACCAATCCATTTAGTCTACTAAAATAATTCCATATTAAGTGATGCCTGTGAAAAAGGAAACTCACCTCTGATTTGTGAAGGAAAAATTACAAATAAAATTAGGAAGAGTACACCTTAGATTCTGTTTAAATACATTAGTATTAAAGAAAAACCATGCTGTGAGTATGATGTTGCCTTAGCTAATTGATTTCTATATCTTTAAAAAGCTTATATTCTGTAGTTGGTTTTCAAACTTCTTAAGAGCAAAAATTTTTGTTCCAAACTAAATTTCATGCGGAACCTTCAGTGTCTAAAACAGATGATTCAGGAAGAATCGCTGGGCTGGTAGAAACCAGGAGCAGGAGACCTGAAACCTGCCCAGTCGGACTCTTGCATGGTTCTAGTAGCCCGTGAGGCGTTCCTGAGAAGATGCGCATTAAACACCATGCTTGTAATAGCACAGTCCCGCAGTAGCATGGACAATGTGTGATCAATTGTAGGGTTGACAACTGGACTTTGAGAATCATTACTCCCATTATGTCATTTCTGTGAGAAAATAAGCTTTAATATATTTCAACTTATGTCTCCTTCCTGATTGTAATCTGACATAAATGAGAGATGTGCTTATAATCAGTTGTTAAAATCATAAGGGTTTGGTTGGATTCGGGGATATGACAACCCTCAGATTTTCCTTAAAGTATATTCTTTGAAATACTTTTTCATGAGATTTGTCAACAGTGATTTAAAGTCTTCTGCTTTTTTCATGAATTTCAGGTTCTAGAAACAATTTGCTTTTTAAAAACTGTTGCTATTTATCTAATACTGACTTTCAAATTGATTGTCTTTAAATGAAGGCTTTATTGAAAAGGCTTGAAGCTGTAAAACCAACAGTTGGAATGAAACGATCAGAACAACTGATGGATTATCACCGCAATATGGGTTATCTCAACTCATTGCCGACCTCCAGACGCGTGAGGTCGACTCTTGGCCAGTATAGCCCATTAAGTAAGCATATTCAAAGTCATCTTGTACTTGTCTGTAACTTTTAAAATATATAACTTACATACAAACTTCTGATATTGTTTAACACTTCAGGAATGTCTTCTATTTTCACTGGCATGGTTTGTTTTGTGTTCACTTAGTTTTAGGTTTCATAGCATGTAATGGGAGCCACTGCAGTCAGAATTCTATCCCTAGTCAGAAAGCTGACCCACATGGCACAGCAGACCTCCTCTGTCTCTCCTGCTGCTCCCCTCAGCAGTGTGTTTCAGTAGCCCCACCTATTCTGCTCCCCACTCTGTCTTCAGTGAATCCTCTCACCTGCTCCCTAACCCCATACCTCTGTCCTATACCCCAGCTCTTCTTAAAAAACAAGAAAGAAAGAAGACACTCACACAATAGGAAAGAAAAGTTTTGTCTGGACTTAGAATTAGGAAATTTACTGGATGATGTGTTTGGATTAAATAATTGAAATTTCTTATTTTCAATTTCTAGGAGGAGCTTCCAGGACGTCCAGTGCTACCAGCGGTCTCAGTTGTAAGAGTGAACGGTTGGCCTTTGATGCACCCAATGGCCTGTTGCTAAGACCGAAGCCACCTAATGTCCGTACGGCTTGGTTATAAAGACTTTTTACTACAAAAATTGTTTACCCAACTCTTACTGAAGTAATATACTCTTGTATATTACTATAATTCTCTGTGTAACCATCTGTGATACTATTTTAAGCAATTCAAAGTATGCAACAATGAGTTTTAATTTATTGTGATTCAATGCAAAAAAAAGTCTTTAAATGACAATGTAAAATCAGTGTTTCCTGTGAGGATATGTGCTTATGTGCAATGTTTATGTACTTAATTGGAGAACTGGTAGTATGCATGTTTATTTTCGCAACATAAATTATTCATTCAGCTGTTGTGTTGACAAAACCGTGTGACAGTATCACTGCACATTGACCCAAGACATGGACTATGTGGTTTCCATTATATATATTTCTTTTCATTTCTTTTATACTTTAAACCACAAGCGTAACTCCTAGATGTGACTGCTTTGTTTTCTATTTGCTTCAGAAGTTAGGTAGTGTGACTCATAACTTGATGGTGAGATAGTTACACTTTCTTATTATGAAATGAATCTTGGAATTTGTTTTCATTGGTGGAGCTGATTGATATTTGAAGAGCAGATTGAGAGAAGTTGGTCCTGGGGCAGTCCTTGTTAATCACTTGAGGCCTCTACTATCTCTGTAGAAGTGTGCCGAGTAAGAACTTAAAATTTTCATCAATCATTCCAAACCATTTTATTCTCTGAGGCTTAGAAAGTTCAATGAGATACTCATTTTCTGTGTTTTTATAAATTCAAGTAAAACACTACTATTGATCTTGAGAAAAGAGGTGGGCATTAGAGTTAGAATCTACTGTGTTGTGACTAGTTTGCCCAAGGAGACCACATGATTATAAGCAAAAACAAGTTATTTGTTTAATCAGAAAAATTATGCCACCTGTTAGAAGAACCAAGAAGGCAGATGTTGAGTGTTTTAAGTAAAAGTAAACACATCAGTGTTTTAAGTAAAGCTGTTGGCAAGTTGTTTTATGGAGTATTTACTGTATTAGGTGAGATGATAATTATACTTAACAATTCCAGTTAATGTTTTCAAGGGCTGAAAAAGAAAACAAATATATGAATGATAAAGGAAAGAAATCTATACATTCGTTGAAACTTCTGCTTTAAATGTCACCTAATTGTCCTGTTTTATTTTGGGCTTTGGGTTAAATCCTAGACCTATCTGTTATTCCACCAGTTCCAGTTTTAAAGGTCTAGTGCAATTGGTAATAGCAAATGTGATGTTATAGTTAACTTTTGAACACAGAGTATTTTTCTGGACCATTTTTATATTTTTTAAACAGCAGTGTGTCTCAGTCATGGTTGTTCTGCTATTGTTCATTATTGGTCTTTTCAGTGCAACCTTGACTGTGTTGGTAAGTTTCCCTATCAAATGCCAAATCTTTCCTTTTTTAATAAGAGTTTTTGATTTGTAGCCCCAGTAGGGAGTCTGCTTTCTGTGTGGCCACAGGCTCTGTAGCCTAAGTGCTGCACTGACTTTTCTCAGCACCTTTGGCAGTGAGCCTAAGCTTCATTTTCCTAAACATCATTTCAAAATTTCTTGGTCTTAGTTTATAATGGTAGATTTGTTTAGGATAGAATGTCAAGCATGGGAGCAGCCACCCTTAAAAGAATTCAGATAAATACAGCTTGTGAGATTTTTTGCTTGCTTTAGGCTGTTGTGTTCATTTGATGTTATTTAATGCTCTCTTCTAATGAACAAGTGTTTGCGTCATTTAGTGCTCGGCTTTATGGGTAAACTTAAGTATACTAAATGAAGTTCGTTGTTGTTTTAGCTTACTGCAACTTTTAATTTTATATCACAGTTATTTTTAAGGAGAAAGAACATTGAATTGCAAAGTTGGCATCTGGACATGTGCCCAGTAGTGAGCTGGCCAATTTTAAAAATTGCTGCTGTCAGAAAATATGTATGAAACCTTTTATGTTCACTATGGCATTAGGCTCTCAGAGGACATGTTATATGGACTCTGCTGCTGCATGTCAAGATACAATATATAATTCTGTAGATAAAGCTACATTTAGGTACTGACTTAGTGCTTTTAGTTTTTGCTACTTTGAAAAGAGAAATTTAAGTATTAACTGATTACAGGGTTTCAACTAAGTCAGGAAGAACAACAGTCTTTGCAGGCAGGCTTACAATTCCCTTGTCATGACTTATAGATGATAAACATAATTGGAAGAGACAAGAGTTGAAAAGTGTGATATTCTCTGCCCTAAGCAAGGTACTTTGAAGTTGTTATGGTTTAAGGACATTTTCGAGAAAGAATCGTAAGTTTACTATTTTCACTTGCAAAAACATAAAGTGAAGGATGATGTAGCATTTTATATTTGGTTCACTTGTACCCACTACATATACTTTGAAGATGTATATCACAGCTAGAAATTATATTCTGAGTCTAAAATTACTAGTCAAGGTTCTTTTTACATCTTTGTCAAAAGTTACTGTCTCATTTTTAATAAGATCATCGATGAAAGATTATAGATTTTTCAAATTATTTTCTAAGGGGTAGCTTTATCTCATGCTTTCCCTACTTTCGTTTTCTAGTAGCCACAACAAAATGCTTTCATGACATCTTTGTCAAAGATTTTTTTCTGGTTTGCTTATAAGTGTAGTGTAATGACTTGTTTTCGACTCATTAACCCAAACATTCAAAATGGATATATAGACAGCTTTAAAAAGAGGTCATTGTGATGAATAATTTTGTGCTTCTCTTCAAATTTTATACTGCACATGATAAGTATTGTGACCAATGTAAAGTTGGAGACACAAGTTTATTTCTTTATTTTTCTAGTTAAATTCATAAAATGTTAAAATCTTAAATGCCAAAGCCTTAACCTGTAAATGTGTATCATCCTCCAAAGTGTATTTAATGCTAATGGCTACTTTATTTCTATGAATAAAGATTAGTTTCAAACAAAAATCAATATAATTTTAATTCCCCAATTCATTGGAATGTATTTAGGTATAAAGAACTGCTTGGCATAGTAAAGAAATAAAAGAATTAAAGTTAACTGAATTGTGTTCTTATGTCTGGGTCTCAAGTACATTGCCTTGTTCCTATTTAAAAAGACAACAATTTTTGCACCTTACAAAACTAAGAATGAAGTTGGAAGGGGGAGGTATTACTTATTTATATCTTTGAGTGTATAACATTTATGGGATTTTAGGGGTTTACATCTGAGAGGAGCTTCCATGTAAAAAAAAATACACCTAAGTTTTTTTAAAATTGCATTCTCGATCATCTCTTTAAACCACATCTAATTTGTTCCATAAAATTATTATGTTACTACCGTGGATACATTTTTTTAGCCTGAAAAAGTGTTGTTCTTTTTTTTTAAGTATCTGCCCACATCAATATTTCATATGCAATATGTGTAATGAGTGATACTCTTCTGAAAGCTTGCTGCTATTTAGGAATTTGGGGGGGAGGGTTCATTGCTAGTTTATTAAATGATTTGAATTTAAAATAATCAGACAGGGAGGTTAAAGCCAGTGTCTGGGAATGCTGCTTCCCTGTTCCCAGTGTCCCTGGCCAAGTCCAGCTCCATAAAAATATGGGATGCTTGCTGAAATTGCATGTCACCCTTGTGCAGGGACTGTGCAGATCTCCATGTTCCAGTTTTGGTATATGTGCTGCCAAAGCAAACACTAGTTGAATAATTTTCTTGGTGAGGGTTTAATAACATTACAATAAATCACTCCTGCAGTTGTATATCTGAACTTTCAGCAATGAAATTAAAAGATGCTTAGAACAAACAAGATTATGGAATAACAGCAAATTTGACTCTTTTAAATTCTAGTGATTATTTTTTCATCTACTTACAAAAGATTTCTGGAGTCATGATAGTATAGTCTCAATGTTCTATGCCTTGATTTCAAAATCTACTTGAAAGTTCAGGTAAATTGCACTATTTGTTCTAGATGATGCTTTTAAGGATTCACTTGTTTACAAGGAAACTTAATGAAGCACTATGTCATACTACCATTAATTGATGAGACACAGACCTTTTTAATGAATAATTTCTTAACTATTTGTAATAAAAGAATTTCTTTCTGAGGATCTTCATATTTCATAAGCTATCCAGACTTATACAAATATGTCTGCTTCCCGTAGTTATGTGAGAAGAGTTTAACTTTTTTTCTAGGCAACTTTTTCCTCCATTTCACCTGAGATTAGAAGGAATATACCACAGAAACATGGAGGACATTAAGATGTTTTAATAATAAAATGACCCTCGAAAAGTTCTTTGACACAAGCTATGCAACCTGGATAGAAATGGAAGTGCTCTGAAAAATCAGAATTTCCATGCTAACTTATGACCTCCCTTTTTTGTAATATCAAAATATTCTAAGCAACCATCAGCTTGTAACCGGATTGCCTTAGCCTCATAAGGTGCTACCTGGCTCAGGTGAGCAAGTGCTGCCCCAAGACAGGAAATTCCTCTTGAAAGCAAAAATAATATTAACAACAGGCTGATTAATAAAAGCAATTATAACAAAATCAATATTGTAAAACAAGGCAGTACCTGTTAAAAAATAAAGTTCTTTTAATGCCCAAACAAAAACCCAAATCTTATCACTCTACTCTCTTAAGCTTTTATTGCTCGGTCTTTAAATAAGGGATCTTACTATCTCCCTTAATGACTTATCTACCAGAAAACTTCTCCACCCTGGTCTTCGACTTGACTTTACCCTCTTTCACAACTTCACCTTGGCCCGCGACCTCACCTTATCCCCCTTCACATCTCCAGCCCAACCTCTAACCTAGTCCCTGACTTGACTTTACCCTCTAAGATGTCTCAGTGAGATGTCTCAATGGGTAGCATTTAAGGTTTAAAGTGACTTTATTTTAGCCAATCATCACTGTGTAAATATAAAAATGTTAGCCTTAAATTTCATGAATTTATGTACCTATCCTAACTTTAATAGATTGATTTTAAGAATTATATATGCTATATAATGTCAGCTGAAGGACAATACCATCCCAACTGTTCTTAGAAAAAAAATGATTATAATCTCTCAACCCAGTTCATGTGCTGATGTCATCCCACTGTTTGCTCCTAAAGTATAAAATAAACTTCTGCTAAGAGCAGGACAGGAAGATTTGCACCCAACTCCGACTGCCGTGTCTCCCTCGTGCCCGCTCCCCCTTTCCCCCCTTTTTTAGGAATCTCCACTCGCAGACGCCACACCCACCTTTGAGACCCTGCCTGTTCTGCCCCCCAACAATCTGTGATCAGAACGGTCCCCAACAGTTCTTTTTTTAATGCCACCACTTTTATATATGAACCAAGATAGTTGACATTTCAGTTAGGATAATGATAGAATATGGGATGAAGTGGTAGTTACATGCTTTTTAAGTAAGGGTGATGTTTCTGTTCACTTTTGTTTGAGAATTCCATTTTAAATGGTATTTTGGGAATGTGATCTTTGTGAATTTGGGCACGATCTTTATATAAATATTCAAAAAATGACATTTCATAATTTCATTAACTATCAAAGTAATACAGACAGGGACACAGCATAAAGGTGCCCCTTCTAAACTCACAAAGCAAACACCTTAGGTCACCACTAACCAGACAGAACTAGAATATTACCAGAACTCACCCAACCCCTTAGGGCTGCCTCCCAGTTTTTACCCCCTTTGTCTGCCCAAAGGTGACATCTGACGTAACACCAGGTTGTAGTTTTACCCATTTTTGAATGTGACATCAATGTATTTACTTTTGTGTCTAGCTACTTTCACTCAACACTTGGCTGGTGAGATTTTTCTTGCTTTGTATGCACCTGAATATTGTTCTTATCTCTGTGTATCACTGTATTCTAGTGAATGGCTTTACCATGACTTATTTATACATTCTGTGGTTGATGGACATTTGAGATAGTTTTAAAGTTTTGACGATTACAAAAAAAATTAATGTGAAGATTTTTGCAGCTGGGTCTTGATTACCTGCATGTGAAATTTGTATTTTTAAGAGTCGAGTTGCTTGATCATGGAGTTATTTATGTTGTTTAGTAGATTTTCTTTATATATATATATATATAATAATTTATTTGTACATCATTTTGTGCATTTTTCCATCTCATTTGCAATCCCCTTGGGCTTCCATCACCAAATCACCCATGTGCCATCACACAGTCCAGTGCATTTCCCTCCCTCCACTCTTTTTGACCCCATTCCCCACTCCACCCTGACAAAATGTCTCTGGTATATAGCTGTTCATCATTATCATTATTTTCTCGCCTGTTCCGTTATATTCCTGCTATGAGAGAAGCCATCCAGTATTTTTCCTTTTTTTTCTGGCTTATTTCACTAAGCATATCTTTTCCAGCTCCATCCATGTTGCTGCAAAAGACATGTGTTTCTTTTTCTTGGTTGCTGAGTAATATTCCACTGTGTATAGGTACCACATCTTTTTAATTCAGTCATTCATTTTTGGGCACTTGGGCTGTTTCCATATCTTTCCAATTGTGAATAAAACAGCAATAAACATGGGGGTGCAGATATCTTTTTGAATCACTGTTTCTGTGTCTTTTGGGTAGATACCAGTTTAGTAGATTTTAAAGAGTAAGTGTAGCAATTTACTCTCCCAGAGAAGCGAATTTGTTCCTTGTTCCAAATCCTAATAATTTAATTTTAAGGTTTAAACATTTACACTTGTAAAGATGTATCATTCTGATTTTCATTGCATTACTCTAATAATCAGATCAAACATTTTTTCATGTTTTTCGACCAGTGGGATTTATTTTCTGAATTGGCTATTGAAGATTTTCTCTGTTTCCTATTGGTTGAATGGATTTTACTTGTTGATTTGTAGAAGCACCTAAAGTTTGAGCCTACATATCATCTCTATGTGAATTATGCTGCTAGTACTACCTAGTCTGGTTTACTTTTCACTGTGAAAGGTGTCTCTTCACAGACACCCTCAGCTTCACTTTGTTTCAGGTCATTATGGTTTCATTTATGGTGAGTACTTATTTTAAATGTTAGATTTAATGGAAATTTTGTTTACCTGAGGGCATGAAGATACTCTATTTTATCTTCCAGAAATTTTGTCCTTCACACTTAGCCAGTTCACCTTGCATTGCTGGCTGTCTTTCATTAATTCTGCTCTTACCTGAATATTTTTTTCCACCTTTCTTCATTGGGCTTTATTTACTGTTATTTTTCTAACTTCTTGAAATGGATGTAGTCCTGTCTTTCCAGTAAGTGCACTGGAATCTAACAACCTCGTTAGGCATAGCTTTAGCAGTTCCACACAAATTGTAATAATATATTTTTATTAAGTTCAAATACTTTCTGGTTTCCATTGTGAAACCATTTTTTCATTTTTAAATCCATGGGCTCTTTAGAATATATTTCAATGAGGGGCCCTCCCTGGTGGCGCAGCAGGTTAAAACACAGCACTAAGAGGCTTAAGCCACTTCCTCATGAGTTGTTCCCCGATCCCCGCCTGCCTCGGAGGTGACCACATGGCGTGGTAGACCTCTCCTGACCCATCCGCTGCTCCCCTCAGCAGTGTACTTCGTTGATCTGCCTGTTCTGCTTCCTGCACTGTCCCTGCTGAATCCTTTCACCCTCCGCATCTCTGGCCTGTACCCCAGTTCTGTATGAATAAATATATAAATCTTTAAAAAAAAAAAAGTATATTTCAATGGGGTGTTTTAACATTTGTTGGTTTTTTTTTTTTAAAGATTTATTTATTTGTGCATACAGAACTGGGGTACAGGCCAGAGACTCAGGGGTGGCGAAAGACTTCACCAGATACAGAGTGGGAAGCAGAACAGGCAGATCAACGAAGTACACTGCTGAGGGGAGCAGTGGGCGGGTCAGGAGAGGTCTGCCACACCATGTGGTCACCTCCGGGGCAGGTGGGAATCGAACTCATGCGGAAGTGGTTTCAGCTTCTTAGTACAGTGCTTTAACCCACTGCTCCACCAGGGAGGGCCGGGTTTTTGTTTTTATGGAAAGTTACAGAATAAACTTGAAGCTTGAAGAGGTCAGCAAACCACATTCCGCAACCATTGTGTGTATCAATTTTTTT